CAAAGGTTGGGTTTGGCTGTGCAGAGACGCAATGCAGCTAGCATCCTAACAGCAGTCAGAGAAAAGTTCGACGTGGGCCCGCTCCTCGCTCGCGTCACAGCTCAGTGACCCTCGGAGTCGGTGTAGGCCACCATTAGAGGTGTTAAGGTCGGGGCCCTGATCATTGACATGAAACCATTTCCTGTTTTTAATTAATAAAATCAATTCTTTTTTTGTTGGAATGGTGAGTGTGGGATGCCTTTATTAAAAAAAATAAAAAATAAAATCTATCAATCGATCCCTCACAACAGATTTCATTACCTTGCAAACGACACTTGTCAAACTGACAGGGCCATAGTTGCCCGGGCAGGTTTTGTCACCTTTTTTTGAATAATGGTGATTTTACATTCTTGTCTCATTAAGAGCGAACATGCTTAAGCAGTGACTATGAATTTACCGCGCTATTGCTTTAAGCACTGAACTTCAGAGGCTACCTGCTCTATGCCGTTCTTGCCCATGGAAAGAAACGTAAACCTAGTGTGCAGTTAGTCGTAGCTGGCCTTCGACAGGACGTATGCGCCTATTTCCTTCATTATGATGGCTGTAGTTAGAAACTGAAATTCAAATTCAACTAATTTCTTATCTATTATAATCCCACATTAAATAATTGATCAATTGTGATATATTACTCAGCTCAAAACAAAAGTACTGTCGGCTCTATAATTTTCGCCCGAATTTATTAAATGGTTTCATAATTTATCAACGAGCCAATTGCTGACAGTTTAAAGACAGAACTCGACGACCTCTACCTAAACATAGCTTTCATTAGTCAATCTTAGCTTTACCTCAACGAGACTAGCGTTAGTTAACTTCCATTAGTTTCGCGCTAAATTGCGATCAGCGAAAACGGTTTGGTCTTGGATCGCCAGCCTCGCTTAAAGAGAGCCTCGTAGAGAGTTGTACTGGCAGCTTCAAATGCTAATATCTGCAGCAGTTGAAAAAATCACACATGTTCAATTGTTTGTGGCCAACGAGAGGCTATCCGCTGGTTACGCATTCAAGTGATGCCAGATAATTGACTGAGATGCAGATGACTAAGGTTTATATAGGTAATAGGCATGGTTGAACGAGTTCAACCATAACATAACATAGTGATGTCGGCACTGAAGTGTAGGTCTGTCGCCGATTCTTTTCCTTTTCGTGCCTTGTTCACAGAAGATCTAATATCGTGTTATTTGCCCGGATCTTTTCATGACTGGCGATAGTTTGAAGTAGCTACTACACTTCCACCGGGTTCGATAAGGAGCTAGGCATTTCAAATCTGAACATATATATTATATTTTTCCATAGCTTTATCTAGTCTGTTCTTGAACGCGTTCATACTTGGAGCGCCAACGATGTCATCGGGGAGGCTGTTCCACATGTCGGTGATTCGAAGCGAGAAAAAATTTTGTCGCGTGGAGAAGTTGCAGCGCAATTTTTTTAGTTTATAGCTGTGGCCCCTAGTGTTGATTATTGTTTCAAATTCTCGTAATCCTTCGGGGACCTTGTATAAACCATGAGCATACTTGTATACTTCAATGAGGTTCCCACGCAGACGTCGATAACTAAGGCTTGGAAGCTTCATAATCTTTAATCTTTCTTCATAGGACTTGCCCTTCAAGCCTGGAATTATCCTTGTTGACGTCTTTGAACATTCTCTATTAAATTTTTGTCCTTTTCAAATCTCGGTGACCACACAACATTTCCAAACTCTAGATTCGGGCGCAAGACAGCAACAAACAACTGCTTCATCGCTTCTGCATCTAGGAACTCGTATGTGCGTCTGATTAATCGAAAGAAATTTGTTGGATGTGTTAGCTTGCGTTCCAACATGCTTAGAAAATTTCAGCTCCTTGTCGACATAAACTCCGAGATCTTTTTCCACACTAGACTTTTCAATCATTACTCTCTCGTTGCAACCATGTCTTCTCATACTGTAATCTTGCTGTTCATTGTTCTTCCCGAGGTGAAGTACTTTACACTTGTCGGCATTAAACCGCAGCTGCCACGTATCAGCCCAGTTAACTAAGCTGTCAAGATCATTTTGCAATTGCGCTTTATTTGACACATTCTTCACTGTATTATAAACTTTTGTGTCGTCGGCATACATATATGGAGCACACGCTGGACACTACTTCTGGCAGATCATTTATAAAAGCAACGAACAAAATAGGCCCCAGGACGCTTCCTTGTGGCACGCCACTGCGCACTGATGCCCAGTCTGACACGGTTCCGTTAATTATGGTGTTACTTGAGCTTCTTTCCAGTCGGACGGCAAAGTTCCTTCGTTCAAAGTTTTTTGAAAGAATACTGTCAATGGGCCGGCCAGAACGGATAACCATGGATAAAGGGTAAAGCTTCGCTTGTACCTGATTTTTTTTATTTTAATACCTGACAATAATTATGAAGGACGTTCTTCCCACTTTTCAATTCATAGATATAATATTCACCATCCAAGGCTATCTTGTGGTCTTGGAATCGTTAAATTAAAAAAAAAAACACTTTTTGCCATGAAAAATAATAAATACCAGACAATGATTAAAAGCCAGTGCTAAATTAGATCAATTTAAAACTGAGGAAAAACTCTGTTAGTTAAATACTCCACTCGCATCCTACTGATTGAGTTTATTTTAGATTGCAAAGTTTTCCATGAAAATAAAACGGATAAAGGAGACAAACACCACTCAATGCCAGGTAATTTACATAACATTGTCTCCGACACTTCTACCATAATACTTTAAATCTTTCCTACTCCTCTTTACACTTAATGTTTAACTCCTCCTGATCTTGCTATGCTTACATGTATATAAAGCCTTTAATTAACTCACTAAGACTCAATCACTATTGCAATGAATTAATTAACTCAAGTCGTATGGACGGGTTGCGCACACTTAGTAAATTTGGTGTTGCGCAAGAAACAATATACGTCGGGAGTAGAAGTAATTGAATAATTTTCAAGAGATTAATAGCATTTATTCCTTACACAATTAAAACTTGTCGCGAAGAAAATCGAAAGAAAAAATTATAATATAATTTTATGGACAGCAAATTTCTTGTAATTCCCATAAATATGAAATTCCAAAAATAAAATTTCCATCACTGCGCCGAAAATGAAATTTACATTTACTTAAATTATTTCGGTAATAATAAATGTTTGCGGAATCTTGAATGTTTACTTCAATGAATTTGAATCAAGGATTTGCTTAATTGTTTGTTTGTCTACACTTGCGAGGACGCAATAGGGATTTTAAATGCCGGCAGGGTATTAAGCTTAAGGTTGCATGGCCCCTCCGTAATTCATCACGTCATCAAAGAATCATTATTTATCATGAAAATTTCGAACGGAAATTAGGCACTGCTTGCATTAATTCCGGCCAATTTATAATTTAAGAACATGAAATTCTTGCATTGGTAAATGCATAACAGAAGGACATAACAAGCATGGCAAAAAAGCCTTACAATATTTTAAATAGCAACGTAATATGAGATTCCAGTCAATCCATTGATTTACGCTCCATTGCATTGCAACGGATTATAATCAACACAGGTGAACTTGAGAGCCGGTGCGTAAAAAAATTAAGAGCACAACTGAACTTGATCGTATAATATTACTTTAAAATTCACTACGTACTTTATTAAAAAACGAGAGGTGCTGCATAAAATTTGCATTTGATAAGTTTTCGTGAAAAAATAAGTTCAACTGATAAAATTTTTGAGACAAAGCTGCTGTTTTCGAGTCTCCAGAGATCGCATATTCATCCTTATGCTGCACAGCTTGGATATTTTAACCATTATGAATTTCAACATGAAAAGGCTGAGTGGATGCCATCGGAAGATGAATTTTTCTGTGGGTGATCGTGCTGACGGTGCTTGAGGATGACTTTGTGGTGAACTGGATGCATGAGGATGCCGTGGTTGAATTTCTCGGAGGGCTTGTCACCGTGCTGGACGAAGGTGAACTGCTGGAGGAGGGACGTCAGGAACAAGAAGATCTCGGTGCGCGCCAACGACTCTCCCAGGCAGTTGCGGCGACCTGTATAGTATAGTATAGTATAGTATAGTATGGTATAGTATAGTATAGTATAGTATAGTATAGTATAGTATAGTATAGTATAGTATAGTATAGTATAGTATAGTATAGTATAGACTGTATAGTATATCGGTTTTAGCGTTTATTTATGTTATAGCGGTTTATTTAGGTTATAGCGGTGTCAGCGTTTATTAGGCCGTAGGCTTGTCGCCGATTCTTAACATCGCAGAACATCCACAGCTTGTTGAGGGCTCGAACTTCGCAACTCACTGCTACAATTCTGCTTTGCTTAACCGCCCGGCCTCCTCGCCGATTCTCACCAGAAATTGGGGCACAGAGCTGGGATCGAACCCGCACCTCTCTGCTCCATTTCTGGTACTCTGAACTTTAACCACTGGGCCACCTGAGGTCCATATGCATTCATAAATTATGAAAATTATCTTATCATTCTATTGGAGATTAACATGCAGTTGGTTGGAATGTGGGGCAATTCATTATTATCTGTTAATTTGTTATTAGACATCTAATGACCAATGAGGAAATATAGGTACCTATGTACAGCTAAATTGGAGAATTTTATTAGTTTACCCCGATAGTGTAAAAATTAAATCTATATTTTTTCTAAAACGATATTATGTTAATTTTTTAAAGCCTAATTCACCAAAATTTCGTTATATGAATTAACATAAGTTATTCTACAATTCACGCGGTATTGTTTCAGGAATTACACATATAGCTGTTGGTTAAATTTTATTGCGCTTGGTCAAAGAACTGATAAAGATGAAATCGATCTGCCAGAAAAAGAATCAAAAGGATTATCGAATATCGATGATCCACGCAACGTAGGGTTGGCATGCTAGTTGAAGATATTTCTGCGAAATATTTGCAGTTTTTCTCATTTTGTTATGCATGTATGATTCATCACATCCATCACAGTTCCCCAGTTGTTGAAATGACAAAAAAAAAAATCGAAATATACGTTGCGGGACATGAGCACAATCTTTAAACAAAACGCTCGTTGCATACAATATATTACATATTTGTGCGTCTTCCGAAGTATTTCAAACTATTTTACTCATTTTCGTGGAAGAAAAAATTATTCTTGTCATAACTCTCACTTTTCCAAATTGTAAATTTCTACTTTTCGCTAAATCTTACACATAAGTATTTCAAAATTGCTCAACCCTGCAGTTTATTTCGCCCAAATTGATCGAGGTTACCGTGCGAGCGGGCATTTTATTTTTTTTTCTTTACTTGTAGCAAATTAAGCGCAAAATTGAACCACTAAATTCAGAATGCTGGACTTGAAAGGTTCAAATAAATATTCTGAATAATTTGAGCTTTGGCAGCCAAATGTCTTACCAAGAGAGAACGGCACCAAGTGCTTCAACATCGCCTTGCCTTCCGGTCCCAAGAAGCGTTCTGGTCGAAATTCGTGAGGATCTCCCCAAACCTGAGGTGAAAAAGTTTGGATGTTTTCCTGTTTATTTCATTGTGTGAGATGTTAAAATGGAAAGTGAATGGTAGTTGGAATACAAGATGTAGCTACGCTCTGTAGATTAGGAGCATGTTTCAAAAGAACGTTAAATTATAGCATTCTTCAAAAATATTGTTGCCCGGGCATTAGAATGGACATAACAGAAAATAACACAAGAGGTTAGATCTATCAATCCCTTACCATTCAAAAAGTAGTCTGCATTTCAGTAAACATGCCATTGACTTTGAACATTTTTTAGAACTCTAATTTTTTAAGTACCAAGAAACTCTGATAAATTTTCAAACCTAAGGGTCTCGGTGCTCCTTAATTAAAACTGATGCCAGCCTGATTCCGACATCCACTGATTCACGTTCAACTTTGTACCACAAACGAAAAGCTATATTCATAACAAATCCTTTAATCATATTTCTGCCAACTGATTATATTGTTTAGTCCTTGGATTTCGTGGAGGAGACTGGAAGATATATATGGGCAATTTATATAATTATGCGACAGTCACCTGAGAGTGAAAAATACGCGGTAGTCCATGAAAAGAATTAGGCAATTAATTATAACGCATTAAGAACTGTCCCCTTGAAGTAGAGCCATTGGAAATAGAATGTAATGGATCAAGGAAGTGGAATATATGAAGATGAAATTATGCAAGCCGCCATAAAATGGTATGTAGAGAAATAGAAAGGGGCAATTCCTTGAGATAGTTCGGTTTAAATTAAATATTCTGTTCCATTGAGTGGAAGAATTGAAGATGATGCTGAACTAAAAGGCATCTGGATGACTCGGAATATCTTTATAGATTCTTGTCAGTGTCCGGGGTTGAGTTGCTGTGTGTCCTATGGGTTACATTCATTGTCCAGAGATAGTAGATTATCGGGTTTTGTTCTGGTGTTGGAAAAGTCACGAGTGTGTCGGTGTTGGTATTCAGGTGCGTAGAAATCAAAATATGGAATGTTTGCATGCTCCGGTGATTATCAAGTTTTGTTCAGGGGTTTGAAAGTTCACTGAAGCTTTACCTTTGGATCGTGATGGATACCCCAGAGGTTGGCGATGACCAGGGTTTGTTTGGGGATGTGGTACTCCCCCAGAGTTGTGTCTTCAGGAGTGGCGTGAGCTGCGAGAGGCGTGATGGTCGAGAACCGCATGACTTCGTTGATGAAGGCTTCCATGTACGGCATGTTGTCACGGTCGTTGAGGCTATATACGAGAAATACATTAGATCCCAACAATGTATGATCCACTTTCACCTTTATGTTGTCTAGTTTTTAACTTTCGTGTTTTTTGTTTAAATATGTCATTTACAGATTAATTATAATGCAGTTCAACGAGTAAGATTTCGTTGAGGTAATTCTGTGGAGAAAATGGTGCTACAAATATTAATTTTAGTTCCAAGGCACATAGTACGTAAATGTGCTGTAAGAAAATCTGAATTGTGTCATTAACCCGTGCAGGATGAATCACTAATTCAAGGTACACCTGAATTAAGGAATGAAATATCGATACATTCAATATTTGAGGGTAACAGGTGGAGTATTTACCAGGGCTTACGCTCGCTGCCGATGACGGAGTCGATTTCTTCGATTAGTTTTTGTGTCACTTTTGGTCTTGTGATGAAAAATAGCACACTCCATCGCAGCGTCGTGACGGTCGTGTCCAAACCAACTATGAACAAATCACTCAGCAGCCAAACGAGCTGCGAGTCTGGATGAGTGAAGGAGGAATTATAAACGACTTTTTTCCAAGTCGCTAAGCCGATAAATCAGTTTTGAGTCTAATTATTGCAGGTCAATTGATGGTCAATCGAAATTCAAAAGATATAGGTGTTTTGGCAAATATTATTATAAAGATGCTGGTGTGGTTTCAAGCTTTTCAGTTGGTGTTTGCCTTAATATTCAATATAACTGAATAAACTTAACGTATTGTAGTTTCTTTGCAGTATCGTAGCGTTAAAACACCCAAAAGATATAATCCCATGTACTGAACCTGTGAAAGTTCCCAAAGGTTGTCCCAGTTTTTTCAGTCTTTTTTGTTCCTCGAGGAAGACGTAAATTAGATCATGAGACCTGGCGGGGTCATCCATCTTCTCGTTGTGGGTTTTGATGAGCCGGTAGAAATACCTGATGCGGTGGATCATGCTGAACAGCACCCTGAAGGCCTTAGGCTGGAAAAACGTACCGATGAACCTGAGTGTACAAAATCAATTTTAGGCATGTGAAATTTACAAAATTTTGTATTCGAAAATCACTGTAAATCTTGAAGCCTAAAGATGTGCACAGAAATTTCAAATAGATGCAGCTGCAGGAAAAATTCAGCGATTTATTCTATGACGTTACGAGTTCCGAGAACTAAAGTCATAATCTCCAGCAGCGGTTGGAAAAATTTTACTCACTCCTCGAGTCTTGATGCAAAAGTTTGAAGCGAAAACTATTATTCTTACTGCAACACCGGCGTGAAATTCAAAAAGCCCCCCTGCTCGACGAGGTTAAGAGTCTGCTCGAGCGAGTCTATGATCCAGTGCAAGGTAGGATCGCCCATCTTGAACTGCTCCCCCACGAGCATGTGCCACACGATGTTCAGCACGGCCGTGGACAGGTCGTGGTGAAGGTCTACAGGTTTGTTCACCTTCTCCTGTTACAAACGCAACAACATTTTTGTTCCAATTGTTGATAAAATAACTATTTTTCGAAGGGAATTTTTATCTAAAATAATTGTAACTTCAATTTGTACTTGCAAATTTGGTAGAGATGGAATTTTTGGCTATTTGTTTGCTTTAATTCTAATTATAGGAACAGAACTATTCTATCACTGTCAGCGTGAAAGGTACGGGGCCAGAAGCTCGTGTGAAGTATTTTGAAAGATTCAAGGGGTTGTGAACCTACTATTAATCCATCTCGATATACACAATCTTATAAAAATTCTGCATGTATCATGGAAAAAAGTTATTTCATATTAGAATTCATAAATGGGTTTCATATGGACTAACATTTTTCATCTTGCTTTATTAGCTAGGGTCGTTCATCTCTACCTTCTGCCTTGAAAGAAAGTAAAGAATTACAAGATTAGATGGCTCTATTTCCACACTTTGAATAAATAAAGATATTTGAGAAATGCGATGTCGTGTAGTTAGCAGAATTCGTGATAAAATAGACTTGTTGTAGTGAAAGAAGTCTGTTAGTTTTGGCTCAGGAATTTGACTCATTTTTTAGTGTAATTATAATTTTTCCATAAATTTTTAATTAGAAGTCATAATGATTTTCGTATCAGTATTATAAAGTTCACTTTATTATAGTTATGCACCTACGTGTAGTGTGTTAGATTTCCAATAAATTTTTAATTAGTAGTTATAATGAATTCTGTATATCAGTATTGGAAGGTTCACTCTATTATAGTTAAGCACCTACGTGTAGTGTGTCCAAGAGTGTCTGCAGCTCCAGGTTCACATAATTCTCAATGCTGGTTTTGCCTAGCCCAAAATCACGCAAGAGTTGAACGGTGATTCTCCTAGAGTCCTTCCACTTCTGACCTTCCGCCATCGCAATTCCTGTTTCGAATAAATATCAAGATTATTACAATTATTATAAAAGACTGAACATGCAAAATATCACAACAGTTATTTGTACACTGCATGTGTGCAAATACACTGCATCTTACTCCATTCATCAGTATATTTTTTCATAATTGCCTGAATTTTTGGCCTCGTTAAACGAATGGAATTTCACTGAAAAATTCTAAATGGCATATAAGTAGTCAATGGGCAAATATAAACGCCTAGTATTTTGAATCTACTTCTTAGGTAACCTTTATATTTAAAAGTCGTATAATAATTCAATCAAATTCTTTTCCGTCACACTGCTTGCTATATAATAGACCTTAGAAGCGAGTTTAAATATGTGATGAATGGTTCGTCATAGGAATCTCGACCTCGTCCGTTAGTGATGAAGTAGATGACGGTGCTGTGGTGACGATGGTTGAAGTGGTCGCCCTGTTTGACGAAGGCCTGGTACAACCACTCCTGAGAGTTGATCACCACGATCCTTTGAGTTCCTAACTGGATGCTCATCAATGGCCCGTGCTTCTGTGACATCCTGTACAACATTCGCTGTTTTAAATTCAAGAAGAAAGTTCAAGAATATAAAATAAATTAATGATTTAAAGCTATAAAGAATACAATGTTTTGTTAAATGCTGTCTGCTGAATAATATATACTTCATTACTGGTATAAATTAATGGGTCGAGAATTGAAGTTATCGTAATCACTTTAAAGTACTCCATGAGAAGAATTCTGCACTAGTCTTTGATTAAAAAACATATCATATGTGACCTATGCTCCGATCTTTATTTTATGTAGGGTAGCAATTATGGAGCGGGCATTTTGCACGTGAAGAATCAAGCTTCTCTTAGCGAGTTCAGATGTATACCGTCACTATATATGATAAAATAATAATTGTTAAATAAAGATGCCGATTGAATTATTATACTCCAAGACACAACTTATGGCAACACGGACAGTCATGAGTGCAGGTCTTTCAAAATATGACGTTTTTCAACATTTTTATCATAGTTATGTCACGTAGGAGCATCCAGCTGCATTCTCCATTCACGTCGCGGTTTCATTTGCTTTTCGAGTTGCTTGTCATATCTGTAATGTCTGGAATGAGTTTTATTAATTCATGGTGTGGTGAAATTCAATCAGAGATTAATCATCTGAGTGATAATGAATCTCTGAAAAATCATCTTTCAGTTATCTGATATTTTGCGGTAAGCAGTTCAAGCGGATGTATAGAAAACTATTCTTCAGTGACATGAGCCATTCCACAGTCTATAGTCTACTCCTCCTTTAAAACTGTTGTTCTTTTTTTTTGATAGAGTTTTGGCAATTTCGTAGGCGTGTGTTACAAATTAAGCTACGGCTGACAAACTGGAATGCTTTGCATGCCTCCCGTTCTTTCAAGTTAGATCCTACTAAAAATCAGTATCCTTCGTCGCTTCTCGGATCTGAGGTCCTCCGACAATGAAGCCTTCTTTGAGCTATGCATTACTATAGGACCTTGGATCACATTTTCCCGTTGCATTCACGAAATTTTAAATCAAGCCAAAATAGTTGCGGGTAGAAGATTCCCGTACATTATATTCTTGTCCTCCAGTGGATTATTTTTTACGCTGTGTTGCTGATAACTTTAAGTGTTCCTTGACCAAAAAATTTTCCGTGTGTAATGTTGGGCTACAGCTCGACTATCCCAGAGACTACAGATCAACAGCACAACTTTGTGAAGCTGGCCAGCGTATCTACGAGTATAAGATGACCAATAACCTTGAGGTTCTAAACAGACTCCATTGGTACTCGTTGTCCTTAGATTAGGTCTTAGCCCTTAAACGAAGGTCTGTATTAAACAAAGGTCTCTTTTAGACGAACTAAATACGCAGTCAGACAGAAGGAATTTACATTCCGGCTTCTTCAACTGCCGCTTGGTTTATAAATATGAAAACAATTACAATATAATGCTTTCGTTTAAATTGTTTCGTTGAGTTAAAAAATTCAATATGCGCTCAACTTCAAATGGGTCTCACCCTAAATGCATACACGCCTACTATGAATCATAAATGCACATAATGCACACTATGAATATTTAGAATCCTGGAGGTGATGAGTAAAAATAACTATACTATTTAAATTTGGAATCCTTAAGTTCCGCTAAAATGGTTATATTTTTGTCTGCCATAATTACTTTGTATGCCAGTGTAATTTTCTATCGTGTCCGGACGGTATCAACATACCTGGGTTTCACGGATACCTCGATCAATTTAAATGGACTAACTCATCTAACAGGACAGGAAAGCTTGAAATTATTATAATTTTAATTATTATTCGGAGTGGAACAGGAAATCCAATTTAAATTAATTGGCAAATTTCTATCACCAAATCGACAAAAAGTCTATTCTTGAAAAGAAAAAGTCTATTATTGTATAACGTGTTGATTTAATTCTATTGATATAGCAAATATGTTACCTCGAGAAATATTCCGTAGAGTTCTCTGAGATGAGGTTCAAAAGGTTGCCTATAAGAGGGAGGCCTGTAGGCCCAGGAGGCAAACCCTTCTTGCGGGGCTGAAGGAAAAGCAGGACCAGCAGTGAAGCCACAATCACAGACAGAGCGATCGTTAGCGGAGACATGGTTAATATTACTTATAAATTTGGATAACATTCTGAAAAACAATATAATTAAATAATATACAATTCTCATATAGGTAAAAAATTTTAAATTGGTTTCGAAAAGTGATTAAATTATTCTACTTCAATTTGTACCATAGTGTCAACTAAGCCTATGAATAATATGTAATCTTAATAAGAATGGGTGCATGTGATTGGTGATGGTAATGTGTAGTACTTGCTTATAGTTGCACTGCTCATGGTGCGTACGAGAGAATGTTTAGAAGTAGATTACAGGGTGCACTGAATTAAACCCGTTATTTATGCATCCCGCGGTCGTCAATTAATCTCACATTGTCCTTAAATAAAAGAATAACAATAACATACAAAATAAATTGTTTTTAGACCTCATAGAAGAATCCACAAAACGCCAAAAGAATTCCGATAATAATATAGAATAATAAAGCTAAGAAAAAGTTTCAAGAAAAGCGTGGAATATATAAAGGGATGACTAGGGAGGTCCTCAACCCAAGTCTGTCTTTTCAAATGATTACCATGGGGTTTGAATGTAGTGTCGGTGACTGCCAGGTTAAATTTAAACCCTAATTCAGTAAACTTTAAAATGGAAACTCTAACTGTGCATCTAGACTCTAATTACGTAAACATATAATGTAAACTCTGAATGTATATATAAGCTTTAATTATGCAAACTTTGATTATGTCAACTCAAATGATATAAACTCTAATTGAAGGCACGCTGACTAACTTCAAATGCCGGAACTATTTGTAGCGTATCTCAGCATTTACTAAAATTTCAAGACGGTGCAAGGGCAAATTTGTATCGAATACTCTCTGTCACTTATTTAAATATCTGCGTCATATTGTACAGTCATTGTTTTTAATATCTCATTAACACTTTTAACACAGTTATATATGACAAATTCACATTAATGTTCTCGTTCTTCTGATGATTCGGTTACAAGATTTCCAACAACTGCAGCAACATTAAACAGAATGATGACAATTTATTAGGGCATTCCATATACGATTCATTGATTATACATTCAAATTGCTTTTTAAAATATTAAATGAATGTTAATTTTGTAATATGAGTTTACTATTCATATTTATTTTCACAAAAGTTTGTTGTGAGTTGTTTATACAGTTACGGAGACAAATAAAATGAAATATATTCTACTGAATTTAAAGAAAACTATCGTACAAAAGGGTAAAATAGGGTGAAAACTTAGGTAACGATAATTAAAAATATAATTTTATTATTTGCATATATTATTCTCAACCGCATTTCATACTCAGGCAGAACGTACATATTGTGCCAGCCTCTTCGCTAACGGGATTAAAAGTTCACCCCATTTCAATAAGAATTATTTTAACGACATTTACAAAGTGTATCGTGCTCTTAAATAATTCCCGTCCTATAATTCTGAACAATTTGCATATAATGGTGACGGGCACCATCTGCACGCACAGAGCGGAGGGCGGGGTACGACTGAGGCAAGACTGTGTCGGTGATCTTGCAGACGTGATGCAGTATCGAAGGACGGATACCAAATGCACGTGTTGTACTTTGAACCAATTTGTTTATTATCAAACATTAGTTGTACTTGTTGTAATTGAGTATTTTTGGTCCTCAATCTACACTTGATCGTCGTTATTCACAAAACTCTTGTGACATTAGTGATAATCGTGACACGTCAGCGATTACCGTGACAGAATAATTTTCGCACGAGTTTTCGGTATCATACTTCGAATGTAATTTAGTTTATGAATTCGTTGGGCTTTCATTATTATAATATACGCAAATAAACAAATATTAATAAAATATTTGTTATATTATGATAATAATAAACATATTTGCTATAATGTCTGAATAATCCGCTTTGAATGTAATAATAGTAAACTATATATTTCGCGGTAAATCTAGCTGTTATAGTTGCATCAAATACTTTTCAATGAATTCTGTGGGATCCATCATAATGAATAATTGAAATATAAATAGGTAGTGACAGTTGTGATGAAATTGATCTCATACTATTGGTGCAGTTCTCGTCTACCATCTCCCGCTATATAGAGCGCCGAACTTTGGACCAAGAGACTTATTCATCATGGCACTATACCACTGCACACGTCCCACCTTGTTCCAATTAGTCTCTAATATTTGTCGTTTTTTTCTTTGCCTGTGCAAATGTGTTTTCTTGATTTGAATACTAAATGATACCTTCAAGGTCAATTGTTTCAAATATTACAGTAATTATATTAAATAATCAACGACTCTTAATATTAAACGTCCTTAATCGGTCCGAGAAGTCTGTATTGGGCTGCGGTTGTGTGTCTCAGTCTACTCAACATTCAAATCCTAAAATTTTCATACTCCTCTGTAGAAGCCTTCAATTTTGCATGTTTGCATGGCCTTTAACCTAAAATAGAGTCGACAGTAATTGTAATATTTTCATTCTTTAATTACAATTAGTTTCCTCACGAGCTCCTGCCATATTTTACACACAGGGAGAAAATAGGCATGCATTTCGTTTACGTTTTAAATTCATTGTGCATTGTCATGTCACCCAAGTTTTCAATCCCAGTTAAAATGTCGAGCCGGCAGCAAAACCAGCCGTATGCAGCCCATGGCTTTGAGGCGCGCGCAAAAGGGCAAAAATGTCTGCTTTAGAGACGAGATCGCCAGCTCCGGTCCAGGGTTATATAGTAATTTAGTCTCTACGCACCTGCTTTGGCGGGCTTTATCTTATTGGCATGCAGCCCTCATCGAGCAACTGTGACTCAAACCAGCTCAGCACTAATGTTAGTAAAGGCAGATATTGGATAACTGAAAACAAATTCTAGTGTACATTATTTACTATAAAAAGCTGTCGCTTCAGTCTGTGAAATTACCAATTGCAGCTCAAGGTTTATTCCATAATAATTTTTTATAACAATGATAAAATTTGAGGATGCAAATAACTTCGAACATAACTATAACTGGAATCTCAATATTAAATTGGGAGTTTCCACGTGATAATATTTAAAACAATAAATGAGCTTAAAAGCTTTTCAAAACACACGTGCAATTCCTATGATTAATTTTACATGGAGTAAGTAGGTGCTATATGACAATATATGTTTTATTTAATCCATATGCAAAAGTCCGGGTTCACAACTGCTATGCAATCAAGTTCTCATGGGAATTACATCACTGGAGTAAGACAAAAAATCGTAGTGAAGCATGACCATCTTACATGTGCAAACTGCTTGATCAAAATAATAAGTTATCACCATATTTCCCTCCTATCTCAATGGTATCTCGTGCTGACTGCCACATGCTAAAATCTCTCAACAAATTTACGGACTAGTCAGGGTCAGTAAACCTTGAGATCATCAGGCTACCGAAAACGCTTTTACGATTTTATGATTAAAAAAATACCTGAATTTTGACATTCAAATGGCCTTTTCGTGCTTTACTCTGAAAATTTTTGTGAAATGAAAGAACTGCAAGCTTATCAATAGCAACTTGTCTTCTATCATTCATTTTTAATAATGAACAAACTAAGTTGATTTGCGACAGTGCAACTGCAGTTGCAGAGCAAGATCTTTTTTTTTTATAAAATGACAGCATACGAGCCGCGTTACAGGGTCAGCACCATTCATCAAATTTCCTAAACCATCATTAGTTCATTTAACCGATATTCTCCTTTAATTTGAATATTAATGATACCATAGAACCTAATGTGCACACGCACACATAAGACACACACGTTCAAGGTCTCTTTATCAATGAGGCCTTTGATAAGCCTAAAATAAATTCCTCCGTACTCACTGCATCTAGCATATGCGACTGACAATTCAACATTGGCCTTGATAATTTATCTATAACCTCGTCATCAAATTGGTCTGAATAACATTGCTAATGAAATTCATTTCTTTATAGCATTATTATGCCACTTTTTGGAGTGGGAGCAGCGTAAAAGCGCCAGTCGTTGCTTGAGCTTTCTATTTGTATACGTGTAATTCAGTCGAATAAATAACATTGTGGATCGGGTTGATCGAGAAAAACTTCTAAAAAACTAATTAAGAAAAAACTATGTCTAAATTTCTTCGGGAGTATTAAGAACATTCAACAATAGAGTTATCTTTTTTTTAAATTCTTATTTTTACCTTTCAGATAGATTCCCAAATTTTTCATGTATAAATATATTGAGAAAATAATATTTTTTGCAAGCATTGTTTGCCGAATAATAAATTTAGACTTCTTTATTTCGCTTTCCTGTAATTTACTTACGCAAATAAAATCAATGGCTATGTTATGAAGGCTAAAGTTTTGTAATTTTTTTCGGAAATTGGCACTAAATTGGATTTGTACCAAACAAAAATGCACATTGAATAAAAATATAAAAGAATTTTGAATAGCAGGATAAAAACAAGAGAGGTAGATGTAAATGTATATACATTGATAATATAATGTATAAATCTATATACTGTAGACACATTGGAATTGTCAACGAGAATATTTTATAAGTAAATACTCATGGAATGCCTTTTGCTGGCAGATGGTTTACCTTTTCACTGCACCCAGAAAAGTTTTTAGAAATTCATATCATAGAAAACGTAAGATTTTGCCCATAGCAAGTTGTACAAAGTACTGTTTCATTAAAAGGATTTGTGTGCTTTTGTAACGTCAATTTAATGAGTAAATCGGCACCTGAAAAGGTTGTATGCTTCGAATTTAAACCACCGTTTTGGTTAAGGCTTCTTGGCATGTTCAGCATTGCTGTAAATAGATATTTATTTATTTGACAAGCCTGAAGTTAGTTAGATAATTAGTTTGTAGTATAGTTGTGTCTTATATGACAAACATTCAAATTTTTTGAGTCGAAAATTAGATTTTTGGCTTTACGTGAAAAAACATTTTGTCGAACCAAGCAGAATTAGGAACAATGCCCTGCTTGGATAAGCCCCTTTTAGCAACGCGCGTCGGTAGGTCTGGGCACTTACTTTCAAAAAAAGTTAAGAGATCGTAAGTTCATCCACCAATCATAGACAAGAAAATAGAGCGTAAGTAATTACGTTCACATAGCGTGTTTTAAAAGTATGGTCCTTGGTCTATTTCTCATATATTTATGCCTTAAATTTCCATGGTGATATTGAGTGACTGGACCCCTCGTGGATAATTCCTGATAGATTAATTAACTACTCGTAGATATAAACAATTCAATCGTTCAACGATACTTTCTTTTTCCACCCTCTTTTAGAATACTAAATACGCAATTATCTACTGAACATAAAATGACAGCAAGTACGCTATTATTTGTTGAACATATTTTAAAGCAAGGGGAATATTGCCAGTTAAACATAACGTAAATGCAATTAATAATAAAGTTTAGTAAAATATCCGGTACCCAAAAAGTTATTGCATCTTAGATATTTTTTTCCAAATTTACATCATTTTTCCTGATGTATGTTCATTTCTTCTCTGATGTATGTTCAATTCATTCAAAAATTTTCATCTCTGACTTGTTATTAAATCCAGTGAAAGTTCTTCTTCTTCTTCTTATGAGAATCTCTTTAGTTTTATACTTAAACAGGAATTTTACACTTGAACTAACCATCGTTTTACACGGATGTTCTCCAAAATTGATTCATTTTATTATGGGAGGATGTTAACATACTTACTAAAGCATGAATAAATGCATCCTGTCTACAATGAAGAACATTTTGAATTAATATATTTAAGTCGCAATGGAACTCCAAAATATTCGTTGTCAACTCACCAAAAAATTTGTAGTTAGACTGAAAGTAGTGCCAATATGACGGGTTAATCGTTTCTAAAGAATACTCTCGGTTCTGTGATCCTGCCTTTATAAAATTAAAGATAAATCAGAGCGACAATAAGCTTGCACTTTTCCACCTGCTCCATAGCCACAAATTTGAAGTTTCATATTCGTTATTAGTTAGCATACTGAGTATTTATAGAAAATATAAATGAATTGAAAGCAGGATAAGAAAGAGCGTGACAGCACCAACGAATTTTACAGCGCACTTGCATGTCATGAAAGACTTCATATAAAAATACGATACATTTTTTAAAATTTAACTTAAAAAAATAGTATCATTTTTTTATTTTCTTTGCCTGCCTAACACAATTTTACCTGTTCTAGGTTACACATGAGCCTAAATAAACACAATAAAATGAAATTATGTTGAAACGCAAATGGGACGATATGTGCAATCCTATGACAATAGATTGCTTCAAAATTTCCTGGAAGCAAATTTCAAAGTCATGACATATTCCTACATTGATTAGGACAAAAAATAAACTACATGATCATTATAATCTCTGTAAATTAATAATTTTTTATATAACTTAATATGCGGGAAAATATTTGAAATATTAATTAAACCCAGCAAAGCCTAAGATAGACGAAAGGACAAATTAATTCAATTTTGGAAGGAACAAATGCTAAGCTTTTTCAGGCTCCCTAGGCCTGTGTCGCGGTTGCTGCAGCTCTAAAATAATCTTGTAAGGCTGGGGGTGGAGGAAGAGACCGTCTACGTAGCTCAAGGGAGGCAAGGGGTCAACCCCAGGTTTCAGTTCAAAAGTGTGAAGAATTGTCGTCAAAAATAAGAAAATTTCTGCGCGAGCCAGAGACTCTCCCACGCAGCTGCGTCGACCTGGATTATAAGAGTTAGTTATAGAATTAAACATAATGGTCAACTTAATCTTAAAGTTTCATCAGAATCATTCAATGAACTGTAAAAATTAATGGATGAAAAAATCGTTCAACGTAATGTGAAGCAAAATACTATGCTACTATATAAGAACACATAAACGCTGGACTAATATATCAAATGTAGGTTTGATTATGTCATTAGCTAGAAGATGCAATAAGTACCAATTTCTCACCTATGGAAAAAGGAACTAAGTTTTCATCTTTGAAAAACTTTCCCTCAGGCGTGAGAAATCTTTCAGGTCTGAACTCGGATGGATTTTCCCAGACCTGAAATAAAATGGAAGTTTTTAATTAGGGATAATCCGTAAATCCTCATTAAGCTTTAACGGTCCCTGGAAGTGATTCGAACACTTTATCAATATCATTAATAAATTAGCTGATATCGGTTATTATCTGTTGATTTGAATTATAAAGACTTATTAGAGGTTATAATCATTTCAACGTGAGAAAAATATGTTGTGGCCGCTATATGATGAGTACCGTTTAATAGAAAAATAAACGTATCAAATATAAAAGAGCGATAAAGCGTTTATGGTATTTATCTAATTTGCGTTTTCATCAACAATTCCTAACTATATATATGAGAATAAAGCTTATTTAAGGAGAATTAATTAGATCAGGATCATGCCAGACACATGAACCTGCTGATCTAAGTACATTATTATCACTCAGGCTACAGTTTCCACCAACGTAACATATCTCTTATTATGCAAGCCACAATATCGTAGCTGTAACACACATACAATTCTAGCCTCACTATCCCACACACTACACACGTTGGGATCATGAAGGGCGCCGTGCAGGTTTGTGATGACCATCGTGCCGGCAGGGATGATGTAGGGGCCGAGGTTGGCGTCGTGCGAGGGCGCGTGGGTGATGATGGGAACCACGACGGAGTACCGCAGCGTCTCGCTGATGAAGGCCTCCATGTACGGCATCGTCTCGCGGTCGCTCAGGCTGCATGCCACATACATGCACAGTGGTGGAAGTAATAAGTTATACCACTAGGGTAATTTCTAATGAAGGCTTGAAAAATTAAATGTTCATTACCAAACGTGAATTATTTGGTAATGAGCAGTAATCAACAGTAAATCTATAATTAGTTATAGTAATAGAGTAACTTCTAATGAAGGCTTAAAGAAGATTAAGTGTTCTATTACCAAACGTGCATAATTTGGTAATGAGCAGTAATCAACAGTAAATCAAATCGGCAAACAATGGTAAAGTAAATAATAATAAAAATAATTCATGCGCAGCAATCAAAAGTAAATAAGAAACACAAAATGGAGCTCTTTTATTGCTTAAAATAATAATTTATTTAATAATTCAATTATTAAGAATTTGGCGTTCATGTTTGCATTTATTCAGTGCAGTGATATTAGGTACCTAATTAACTTTTGTTTCTTTAATCAGTTTGGTTCACAATTGAATAATTATTTTCGCTGAAGGTACATTTTAATTATTCTTATCCTCGACTGGCTGTAACTCCCCGCGATTTTCCTGAAGATAAAACCCACTCGCAGATCAATATGCAACTTTCAGTACACATTACTTTTCAAATGCTCTACATAAACATCTGGTGACCCTTTGTATATTGTGCAGTACTATCGCTCCTTGCATCATGCCCTTGCACTGCCTGTCCTCACCATGGCTTCCTGTCGTGTCCCACGACCTGAAGGATCTCATCCCTGAGTTTGTCAGCGACGCGCGGATGCTTGACGATGAAGAGCAGCGCCCACCTCATCGCTGAGACGCTCGTGTCAAGACCTGCTACGAACAGATCGCTCAGCAGCCAACGCAGCTGCGAGTCTGTAACACATTACAACATTTCTAAGAATCCGTACATTGTGTCACATTATTCATATTCATTACTTCATGCGGATTAATAGTGATTTATAATTTATTTTTCAGTTCACGCTACAGTTGCGTGATTGATATTTAAATATCAACCAGTGCGCTACCACAAGTTCTCGCTGCAGCCGTTTGACAACTGAAACTTTATCAGAGTTGCCTCATGATCTTTTTTCCGGCCAAATTCGATGATTTAGTTTTCTCAATTGCGTTTATCCGATTCAATTTATGATGGCAGTCCATAATTATAAAATGTAAAAAAGTGCGAAAAAAGGAAAATGTATTTTTTTACACCGGAACCTACAAATTTACCAGTAAATATTCAGTTAAAGGTCTTTTTCCGTGGACTTGGCCATTTTTAGCGCATTTTCTCATTTATGGAAAAAATGCACTATTGTGCTCGCCATGTCCGTCTGTCTGTCTGTCCGTCCGTCTGTCCGTCCGTCCGTGACCTCAAGTTTTCGTCGACGAGAAAATACGCTCTCCGTCACTCACTGCAGTCAGTACTGAGTTATATTTTTTAAGCTATTTGGCAACCCTAAACTCAATTTCCAGTTGTCATTGAATTCGTTAAATTACTAGTCAATAAAAACAAAGCAACTTCGAAACAAATTATTTCTAAACCAGATTCAATATGTAATTTGTTTAAGCCCAAAATCGACATAGACTGATTTACTCCTTCACATTCAGGTTTATAAAATAGGGATTTAACCTGTGAAAATGCCCGGCGCTTGATGTGCTTCTTCGATCTTTTTCTGCTCTCGTAAAAAGGCGAAGACAAGATCCATGTTTTTTGTTGGGTCGTCGAGTTGTTTCCTGTGTTGCCTGATGACGCCGTTGAAGTACATCATGCGATAGACGAGGCTGAACAAAACTTGGAATGCGCGAGGCCTCAGGAAGGTTCCAATGAATCTGAATTTGATACGCAATAATATCGCGAAAATTTAAATTATGATTTGAGTTTTTGCACAACCTTTTGCTGCGTAAATTATAATGAAACATTAGTAAAAATGTTTGCATATACTAGTAATTAATAATTGACATACATGTGCTGTAATGTTGGCTGTTAACATAAGTCTATTTTCGAATGGGATTAAGAAAAGCAGTATTATTAAAATCATTTGAATTTCATTTAGAATAATAAATTCAAAATATGGTAATTGCAACTCTTTTCGCCTATCTACTTTATTTATTCGCTAAAACTTACCGATGATGAAACTATCGCTGAACAAAATTTCTCACTGCAAGTTACTCAAACCTCAAAGTGAGAATGTCTTTCAATGAAATAGAATACATTTACTTAACCAAATTACAACCGAAAGAACAATAATACAATTCATTAACATGTTGTATCGAAAAACAACGGTTAGCTTCGGATATCATATTCATTCAGAATAAAAATTATCCACGCAGATTTACAGAGACTCGGATCACACACATATCACATATCATAATTCGACCAATGTAATCTCATTGCTATACTTTCGTAAAATTATTGTCTTGGAAAAATTCTCTGACTTTCTGTGCAAGAAGATTGGGTGATACAAATTATTAATGTAATTTACCACCACATGCAAAGACGGTATTGTAATAGCACTTAATTTTAAGCGGAACAAATATTCAGCAATAATGTGTGACAAAATTTAAAGCAAGACGATTCCTCATAGAAAAATATTTTTTGTTTGATTAATTCCATATTCTTACTGAACGAGCGGGACAAAGTTCAAGAAGCTGCCCTGGTTGATGAGATTCGCAGTTCTTTCGATGGAAGTCACCATCCACTTGAGGAAAGGGTCGCCAGTCTTGAATCTTTCCCCAGCAAACATGTGCCACACGATGTTCAGGACGGACGTCGCGAGGTCAGGGTGAATTTCGATCGGTTTACCCACTTCTTTCTAGAATTAATTGCATATATTAACCTTCAGATAACTCTTGAAATTTTGATAAAATAAAGTCTTGTTTGATAGATAAACTAGGCAGATAACACTGGCTAACAACGATTTATTATGTAGATAATTAAGTGTTATGTTAACTCGATATTTTTGGGCGGATTTCGAACTACTTTTAATCACATTTTTCTGATCGGTGGCGTCTGATGACAAGCAAAAGCTGCTTCTGTGAGTCTTTGCTACAACGAAAATAACTCAGTAGAGGCTAGTAAAATATTTGTGTAACAACAATTTGAACCTTTTTCCATCCTATGGTTTCATAAGAATCAGTGTAGGATATATAACGTCGGCAGCCGCGCCACATCAATACGTGATCGAACATCCGCGCGAGAAGGAACGCTGTCCCTTGGTTTGGTGAGAACCTATATAGAGGCCTTTTTTCAGACGGTAATTTTCATGTGAGAAAAATTCGAAAAATTACACACAGAAAATTTTCCAAATAATATAAATTCAATGCTTCAGAGTACACTACTGGACATCATTTTTAGAGTAAGCAAAAGTTAGAACGATGTGATTGAAAAGTCTTCGAGATTTAGGTAATTTCTAGTTGGGCGCTCGCCCCCGGTGTGAACATAGCAAGCAAGATGTATTCAGCACACGATATGTTTGACGAACTACAAAGATTAACCTCTTCTAAGCGCATTTTCTCATATATGAAAAAAATGCCCTATTGTGCTCGTCAAGTCCGTCCGTCCGTGACTTCACGTTTTCGTCGATTTGGAGAAAATGAGCTCTCTGTCAATCACTGCAGTGAGTACTGAGTTATATTTTTTCACATTTGCAAAAATGCTAAATATAATTGAGTTGGAGAGTTTCGAAGAACACGCGGAGTTGAATACTCAGAGCAAGCTTGTTTTGCAGAAGTAAAGAATTGAGCAAAATTATTACATGAAAGAGGAAAAAATAATTTACGGTAACCGAAAGCATTTGCATATCCGTTAGAATTTGTACATCATGACAATTATATTCATAGTTATGAATTTTGATTGCTCTGGTTTTCTAAGAAGATTTAAAATTTTCAAGTAAAGTCATCTAGTAGTTCCAAGCTGATATATTCAAGTATTTCCGAGCTACTTTGAATACTTCATAACATATTTCATTTACCGACGCTGTTTAAGCCGTTTAAGAACTAAAAATAAAAAAACTTCTCAATAGAGTTATGCACTTTAAGGGTTTCTATGAACTCTGGCAGCTCGAGGCCGATATAGTCTTCTATCTTGGACATAAAAAACTTCCCAATATAGTTATTCACTTTAAGAGTTTTTATGAACTCTGGCAGCTCGAGACCGATGTAGTCTTCTATCTAGGACATAAAAAACTTCCCAATATAGTTATTCACTTTAAGGGTTTCTATGAACTCTGGCAGCTCGAGACCGATGCAGTCTTCTATCTAGGACATAAAAAACTTCCCAATATAGTTATTCACTTTAAGGGTTTCTATGAACTCTGGCAGTTCGAGGCCGATGTAGTCTTCTATCTTGGAGCTGCCTACGCCGAACTCCTTCAGCACCAGCGTCAGGAGTCGCCGCGAGTCTCGCCACGCCTGTCCCTCAGTCATGACTACGCCTGCGCCATAACAAACTTGTTAACTCGTGCAAATAATAGCATATTTATAATTTATATGTTGGTAATGATAAAGTTTTCTGAGAAATAACAACATATTTATAATTTTTATGTTAGTATTGATGACGTGTTCTGGAAAATACCAAGATATTTATTTGTTTTATTGGTTTTGATGACGTATTCTGGAAAATAATAACATTTTTATAATTTATACTTTGGTAATGGAAATGCCTTCTGATGTTTGAATGATTGTGTATTTCGATTAATCTAATGACTAATTTAAGTTATTGTGCGATCATGATTGAAATTAGTTATTTTGAAAAACGAAGATAAATATCGAATTGAAAAAGAAAAATAATTAAGTTAAATGTTTGGGGAGGATTGCGAACTTATTAATATAGATTGATTTCTTTTTCATGATGTGTTCAGTTTTGGTTTATAAAACTAAATTATCTATAATGTTTACTTATTCAATGTTGTAATAGTATTCATATTGTGAATAATATTCGAACCTCCGCTAGATAAAATTAGATAATACTTTGATAATAATTATGAACGTGATATAGGTAAGATTATGAATACTTAGCATTGAACGCTAAGCAAATTTAACAAAAAATAACAACGTTAATCAATAATTCTTGACAAGACATATCAGTCTTGTTAGTTAATAATGTGCTGTAAAACTTTAATTTTATTGGAACATTTTCGATTGAAAGCTCTCATAATTTAATCAGGTTTATTTTAGTTATATATAAGCCGTATAGTGCATCAATTATCTTTTAATTAGAAACATATTTCACTACAGATATAAATATCTTCAGCTCATAACAACCTTTTCCTCCGCCTATGAAGTGCATGACGGTGCCATGCGGCCTGTTAGTGAAGGTGTCGGCGTGTCTAACAAACGCCTGCTGCATCCAGTGTCTCGACGTTATGACCACCACGCGACGTAAGCCAAATTGAATGCTAAATATTGGCCCGTATTCTTTAGATAATCTGTAATATATAAACTAATTACATTCCTCTAAATAATTAGGAATGAGCAAATAGCATTAATAAATAATAATGAACAATAATACAATTAATTGAAAATCTTTTTAAGGAATACACACGTGCAGGTCTTGACGAAATTTAAATATGACGATTATCAGGTCTGCATTTGAAAACCTTAAAATTTAAAAGTTACAGTAAATATTTAAATATTTACCTTCCATCAAATTAGTTGTGTATTTTAGTAAGTACAAATTTAGTAATTCCATCACAAATTGAAACACCAGTTATTTCTCCTTCTCTCCCGATAACTTTCCAAAATATGTGAACTATTTATAGAAAAACTATAAAATAGTTTTAGAAACTCTAGGATGCTTGAGGATTGACGGAGAATTGCTCTGATTATAATAGTTGCAATCGAGTTTTTCTATAACCTACAGGAATTTAAATTATTTTTGTTTAAATAGGCTTCGAAATGTGAGAGGGTGGCATTAAAATGCATTAATTCATTAACACGTTTCATATGTTCCTGATATGAAATAGTTTGTGTAATAATTCTTTTACATACGTTCAACAGGCGAACTGTTCAATAAACCTGCAACAGATCTTGCAGACTGAAGTATTCGATGGGGTTGTATCTTACAGAGTGAAGTATTCGATGGGGTTGTGTCTTACAGACTGAAGTATTTTCTTACAGAGTGAAGTATTCGATGGGGTTGTATCTTACAGAGTGAAGTATTCGATGGGGTTGTATCTGAGGAGGTCAAAAAGATTCCCCACGAGAGGGAGGCCCTTGGGACCTGGAGGCAGGCCCTTTGTCGAGGGTTGCAGCCACAGCAGCAGCAGCAAGAACAACAACGTCGCGCACAATATTGCTGTTAGCCACGCCATTCCTGAACAAAAATAACATGTATTTGCAATAACTGTTAGGGGATATGAACCCTTTATTTTGTGCATATATTCGTTGACGATACAAAATTTATTTTTGTGAATTAAAATGTTGATATGACCCGGCAGTCACGTTGTGTCAAATAGCCACACAAACATTAACATATTAGGTTTTTTTCCTAACTATACATTGTTGACTCCAAAGTAAAAAAATCAATCATTATCTGTTGCCAGAGCAAATATGGAAGCACACATGCACTTCTGAACAGCCAAAAGTCGACGGTAAATAATTTGTGCTGGTAATTCATGATAAGAAATCTATTACATATATATAAGTAGTAAGAAAAGGTGCATAAAAATGTAAGGAGCACGGGAAATTAAAAAAATAGTATTATATAAGAATCAGATTTTACAATAGTGAAGAACTTGTTGAGAAAGAAAACTTGACAATGAAAGTGAAAGTGAGGCGGATTATGATGCGCCAATGTGGATTTGAAACCGGTTAGTTACCTTGTTTAAATCGGGTGATTTATTTTAAAAGAATTATATAACAACTCTGAATCTGCACAGCAATTGTTGTGATAATGGCTTCAAGAAATCGTGCGCATCACGTACAAAATCACAGAAATTCTGACCTGACACGCGAACCTGTATGGGTCAAGTGAGACCTGTTCTGTGCGGTCCATCTCTAAGTGCGTGAGTTTAGAAATGGCGAGGGAGAAGATTCGAGCGAGCTCGACCTCGTAACCTCGACCTTATCTTAATCTTTTTCATTTACTTTGTTTTTTTTTCTCGATGGCTGTCAATGTTTGAGATACCTTCTACTTCTAGTGTTGATCTTTATCAAAGTTTTATCCCTATTGGCACTGCTTTAAAGCCTCAACTTTGATATACCTTTAAAGTCTAGTGTTGATCTTTCCCAAAGTTTTATCCCTACATGCACTGCTTCAAAGCCGCAACTTTGATATACCTTCAAAGTCTAGTGTTGATCTTTTCCAAAGTTTTATCCCTACTGGCACTGCTTCAAAGCCTCAACCAAGTTCATCCTAGAGTAAGAGTGCCGACTGGTTTTCTCGATGCGGAGTCAGGGAGACCTTGACCTGTACCTTTACCTTTATCCTTAGAAACTCATCTCCTTAAATGCTTCAACTTTTCAGCCTCGAGTCTCTTAAGTAACGTGACCCCTTAGAACATGTTGACCAAGAGACAAATGTTTCAGTGATCCAATATTTTATTGTATTTTGGAATAAATTTTACGTTCTTACCAATACCATTAATACAATAAAATATTAAAAGAAGTAAATTTATCTTCTTTTATCTTGCACCCAAGAACCGACGAGAACATTGACAGTGACGATGCGTGCGTACACGTTAAGGTAAGAATTATTTCATCATCCCGACGACCATGACCATCCCCAAGATCGGGCCTCTCATTCGTGTTTATTGACAAATGATTTTACAATATATTGCGACAACATGCAACTCTGAATAATGTGATAACGTTACTCTACAACATGGCAGGATTTAATAACGCAATGACACAAGCATATCAAAGATTTCAGATCGCAGGTGGCCGACAACAATAATGACCTCATTTCACTTTATTGTGAATTAAAAAGCATTTTTTCAGGTCAGGTTCTCTAATATCAGAATTTTTTAATGATTTTAAAATAAATAATTAATGAAGATATTTTGGGTAAAAATATTGTGACCGTTCAACGCATTTTTAGGGAAAGATAGCAGGTGATCAGCCCATCTTATTGCCAATAAAAGATTGTGTTCCTAGCTTTAAAAGAATAGAAAAGATTTTGCAACGAATCATGTAGACTGGATATACAGAATGACAGATGTAAACAGATATACCATTGTCATTGGATGTCATGTAGACAGATATACCATTAATGAAACCTGCAGTATACACAGCTATATATAGCCATGCAGCATAAATAGCCATACAGTATACATAGCTATGCAGTAGGTTTCGTTGAAGACCAGAGAGTATTTCTTATTGACAATTTTCTTATTATTTTACTCGATTCGGCGAATTAGGCTCTTGATAGGAAGTGAAAATCCAAATATCAGGTTTCCAAGGGACATTTTATTATAATTTTACGACGTTTCCAATGCAACTTCATTCATTATCAAGTAGAGGACGAGTTTTGCAACAAGTGAATTTGAAATTTTGAAATGACAATAGTACAAACATAGGGTATTATGGATACAGATTGGAATCAAAGCTTGAATCACGAGAACAATTTTAACGTCCTGACAAATCCGGTAGTTTGCAAATTAATAGCTGGAGACTCCTGCTTGATGATGAGAGCCTCAGCTATCGTCAGTCTTGTGGCGTCTGGGCATCTCATGATGATTCTGGTGTGGGTCTCCAACATCGCGCGAGTGAGTGTCTCATTATGAGCCTCTCTCATGTGGTTCTTCGGTCCTCCGGTCTGGAGGTGGCATGTTAGGCGGCGGCTCAAAGTCGTGCTGGTCAAACCAATGTAATTTACGTTCTGGAGAAGTCTACAACCTTCTTTGTGGCAGGAATATTTGTAAATAACATTAGTTTGTTGTAATG